ACTACTATACTAACTATATATACCTACTACTATATAGTATATATATATATATATATATATATATATATATATATACGCTAACATTCCCCCTCAAACTCAAGATGCTTGACACAAAGCATCTGGAGTTTGAACAATAAGTTGCATAAACGAATGAGTTGGATTTTTAAGGGTTCACGTGCCTAGCGTAAACTCCAATCTTCACCGGAGACAGAAAAATAGTCGAGACAGTTGAGAAAACAGAATGACACTTGGAAGAGCCAATGAAACTTGACGTGGATTCGAGACAGACAACAGCTCGCAATCCGAGACATATTCAGCAACTCGCAGTTTGAAACACAGGCCAGAACAGAGACAAATGTTGTTTTGCATATAGTCGAAATACGACTCGACAGAGAGTAGATGAATCGAAAGTGAATCTGAGGCCTTTGGCAGTGCTTCCTTTGTCTATGAGTTTCTCTTACTAAACTGATAGTGTCGATTGATTCAACCATGGACGAAGAGGAGAGCTGAAGTTTTTGTGCAAGGGGGGAATCTTTTTTATGGTAATACCGAGATCAGGGGTCAGATTTTCCTTTATGTTGGATCCTTTATTAATTAATAAAGAATATACAAGATCCTGTATACTCACCTCAAATCTGAGGTTGAGGAGCCTATAGCAGAACTGAGGTTGAGGAGCCTATGGCCTGATACCATGTTAGAAATTATGCAGTATACTGCAGAGAACTCTCTCTTTATTAATTAATAAAGAATATATAAGACCTCGTATAAATATACGACTAATAACAATTATGGATAGACACCAATAATTATCGATAATTACTGACTAATCCTATCATAATCCTAGACACCTAATCTTATAAAGAGATACATACCCATACAATCAAGAAATATATATACGCTAACACCCTAGCCATTAGAAATGACAACAAAAATATTATGTTGTGTTTGTCACATTTGGAAACCCATTTGTGTAATAGATTCCATTGAATGTTTGTCTAGCTTGTATAACGTATCAATCTTAAACAATCAAAGTAAGGTACATTCCTAATCTTGCTAAAAGATGCTATTTTGGTGCCGTAAACACTTAAAAGGGCATAAAAATATGTTTTGACATTGATTATAAAATTTGAGATTCCAAAAATGGTGTAGATAGAGTAAATCTATAATGACAAAAGTTTTAAAAATGGATGATCTAGATACCACGGTCCGAAGCCCACAGGAAAATTTGATGGCTTTCGCGTAGAGGATAGACAAACACCAATGGTCTGATATTGTGATCTGACGATTGGGATGATGTGCTTCAACCTACATGATCTTCACTGTGTTCATTAAATACAAACTAATTGGATATATCCATCGGTGTGACCCCAGAACATAAATATAATATTATTTTGATTTATATTTATTAAAAAAATATTATATATTTCAATAATGTTAACAAATTAATTATCTTAATAAATTTTGGTAGGGATGGGAAACGGGTCTGGGTCTACTTGACCTGGACATGACCCAACTTCATATCTTGGACTGATTTAAGTGTAGCTTGTAGCTAATCAAATCCGGGTTGGCATGACTCAAAATATATAGATTGTATATTATGAGATCATTTACCTTTTTAACAAGGATATCACAAATGTCTTCAGGCATTGATTTTAAATTGGACGGCTTGTGGTGTGTCGCGAAGTTCGACAAATTTTCTAAATTTTGAACCTAGTCAATGACACACTTATAACCACACGTTTTGAAATCCAACATGCAACAATGATTATGACTTCCTTATGAAAGTGATTTTATCTATTTGTAGACTATTCCAATAGGGTGAGAGTTGTGTAAAGTGCCCACCTTATACATTATACTATAGAAGTAAGGCACACCTCAAATTTTACTCGAAATATATAGTTTTGGTGTCGGATGCCTTATGATGGTTTGTAAATATATGTCAAGCCGCATTTATAAAATTAATAAATATAAAGATAATGGAAATCTAACAGATCTATAAGCACTTGAAAATGAACGGTGCAGATAATGTCTTAAAAAATGAATTATTTTTAAGACTAGAAATCCCTTGTTTTTCATATTTATGAATCTCAAGGTCGAGATGATCAATTTGAGGGTCCAGCATAAGAACAACCTTCACTAGTGGGTTGTCCTGTACAGGTTGAGGCCTTATATAAATATATATTTTTTTAAATAGTATAGTTTTGGCAATATCTCAAAATACGTGCCACTTTTTGACCTTGTTTTAAAAAGTGTGTCAAATCTATATTGTCCAACCAAAATAAACGGTGGAGAACATCGCAACCTTACATATACAAAAAAAGTTTCATTCTATACAAACTGTTTCCATAAGATTCTTTTATTTTTAATAGAAATGTTTCTATACTTCATCTACTATATAGAACTTTTATATTTCCCCCATCTAGTCGTCCAATTTAAATCAAATAAGTCATTGACCGTTTGATCTAGCTTAAATGCCTTTGAATATTAATTTTTAGTTTTTATTCTACAAATTATATGAATATGAAATTTAGTATGTGCTATCAACTCAATGGGGCGCACCTAAAAACAATATAAAAAAATTATTTTAATAAAATAAAACAACTAAAATACCTCCAAAACATTCAAAAGTATTTTGGTTATTTTATTTTATCAGGAATATTTATTTTATATTTTTTGCAAGTGCAAGTTTTAAAAAGAAGTTGACACCCAAACTTTGTTGTCATAAAATTTTGTAGAAATAAAGTAGAAGCATGACATTGGAATTCGATCCATCTTAGCCGTTGATTCAAATCTTAGGGGTAGATAAGAGAAAGTATATAACTACTATACATTAAAAGAAATTAAGAGAAGCATAGAGAGGTTGCCATATTTCTAAACCCAAGCAAGTTCCCAGAAAGAGAAAACTTGAACATGCCCATGTTTCCCAAGTGAATACAATTTATCTTCCAAAAATAGCCTCTACCTCATGCATAGACAGACGCGCGTGCCGACGCGGTAAAAGGGTAGGCATGGGAAAAGGCAGCTGTCTTCTTCCCTCCCCAACGGCTCTCTACGCTGACAACCAACCACTCAAATCCAACATTTATCTAATTTAAGATGAAATATTTATAGGGCCTCGGTTTTATGAAAAGCCTCACCTCACTTGTCTTGAAACCATTTTTTACAAATTAAATCAATTTCCAACCCCCCATAAACATATTTGAAACTACAAAAATTGTACAGATATTGCTTATCTATATACACTAATTTTTAGGGTAAAATAGGCGATCTAAATAATTTTTTATAATATATATACAATTTTTATAGCTTAAAATTTTTATTTATTTTTACAGGTAGTAATATATTCAAGCTTAAAGGTTTTCCAATATTTGAATTGTAATTTTTGATGACCTGAAGTGAGGCGTTACTTATTTCGATAGGCCTGCAGCCATATCAAATGATTCTCTTGAACTTAATTCCCATTTCCGCGTATAAAACGGGGACCCTCCCAACCTCAAAAAACCCAACTGGCACTCTCTCTCTCTCTCTCTCTCCCAAGAATCTTTAGGAGCCCCTTCTCTTTCTCTCTCTAAATTTCACATTTTCCGGCATATGTTCTCCTCTGAATACATTAACCCCACCGGAAACCCATGGATTGCGGCGTGTTCACAGTGCAGGCAGTGTGCCTCAAAGGAGCAGTGCGGAGATGGCGCCGACGCTCTGCGGCCTCGACTATCCCTTACCGACAGATCTCATCTCTCGACTCGTACTTCTCGGACTCCGACGGAGAATGGTGGCCGAAGAAATTGGTGAAAGTGATCGTCGGAAAAGAGAGGAGAGTCTTCGAGGTGGACGCCCAAGTTCTTGAAGAAGACCCATTTCAAATTCTCATGGGGAGAAACAAGAGAGAGAAAGAGAGCAGAGATAGTAACAATCCGAGAAGAGAGAGAAAGTATGGTGAAAATGGTAAGATATTCGTTGATTGTGATGCGATTTTGTTCGAGCATTTCCTGTGGTTGCTGGACAACGATTGTACAGCGCTATGGAAGATGAATTTAGAGGAGATTATAGAGTTTTATACCCAGGATCCTTCCTGATGTTTAGAGGGAGAGGAAAAAAAACTCTCTTTTTTAGAGAGAGAAAGGGAGAATCTGCTTATTTCCTTTGACAATATTTTAATTTCTTTTTTTTTTAATAATGGAAAATCTTTCCCTGTAAATGAAGGATGAAATAATTGTAATTGTCATTGTAGTTTTTTGGGGAAAGCCCAAACATTTTTATATCTGTGGAAGGAGAACAATTAAATTATTATTGTTTGCATAGATCATCACTTTTTCATAGCTCAAAAGAAATAATTTATTTCTTTTTTTGTATATAATTCTTTTTGGTGAATATTTTACCGAAGTTTACTTACGTACCTGGTGAAATTTATGGAATAATGCGCGGTCCCTCTTTTCAATAATTTTTTTTTTTTTTTTCTACTTTTTCTAATGTTGCATAACCGCTTTATTTGTTTGATTTTTTTTTTTTTAGCAATTATGGGTTTTGTGCCATAGAGCACTTTGGTAATGACAATAGCAGACAACTTTGAGTGATATTTTTTTCGGATATTTATCCAACCAATACACTTAAAACAAAATCCAAGGTATGGACGGGTCCTATGGAACATTGGATTGCCCCATACTAAAAGCAGTCTATTGTTGCAATTATTGGATCACCTCAAAAATGGGCTGCCCCGATATCTTATCTATCGGACCCCCAACAAATGCCCCCTCTTCCCTCAAAAAAAAAAAAGCACTTTCAAAATTGAAAGATCAAACCAAAGGTCAAACTTGAAAAAAAAGAAAACAAAAAACAAAAAAAATACATCACAATAAAATTTTGACAATATGCAAAAGACAATAATGAAAATTTTACCCGATCCATACATAAATTTCTCAATATTTTACAAGGTGTATGGCTCGTGAACAATAGACGCGGTACTACCCAAAATGCATGATTTAAGGTGACTTGACTAAGCTTTCACTCAACACATACATTTTGGCCTTATTTTTTGGTGCTAATCGTTATCGCCAAATTTAGTTGGTGAAAATTAGCACGCCTTTCAAGACAGTATCCAAATTTTTTAGCCCAGTATCAAACATCATCAAAATAAAATGAAAAGTGTAGGTTAATGCATTTTTACTTTTATAAATAAGATTAAACTTTTCCCAACTCATTTCCAGCAAAAACCAAGACAATGATATTGTGGCTTGGGTGATCAAGTAATAGAAGGGGTCCTCACCTCCATTGAAGATGTCACGTTGTGGTTTGGGTGATCAGGTAATAGAGCCATAATATGCGATTAAGAGTACTATTTTCAACATGTAACCATGTAAAAAAAAAAAAGAAGAGAAAAATCTTACGTCATTGAAAGAAATAAAAAATTATATAGAGTTTCTCTCTCCTTCCCCCTCTGTGCGACTAGGCTTTTACTGTCTCTCTCTCTATGTGAGAGCCAGCTTTTACTTTGTCCTTATCATTTGCCTGTCTTCCTTGTAGAGAGAGAAAGAGAGAGGAAGGTGTCATTGACTTGGCATTTGCTGGAAATGAGTTGATTAGTCTCGTTAGTTGAGATGGTCAGTCTGTATATCAAAACCAACCACTCTTTAACGCGTCAAATGAGAAAGGAATAGGTTTCCCCACCTCCCCCTGAGGGTGGCCATGTTAGGGCTAGGGCTAGGGCTAGGCTAAAAATAAATGAAGATAAATAAAAGAAAAAACAAGAAAAAAAAAGAGAGCCAAGCCCGTTGCTAGCCCTCCCTATCCCCCCACCTTCCCCCTTAAAAAAAATAAAAAAAAACAAACAAATCAATCTACATTATAGAAGATGCTATAGGGTTGATAACTGGAAGGTAAATGTCTCGTAAAAATTAGAAGTTCTTCTCTGTTGGGAAGAAATAAGTTATTTAACGAAATTCTAAATGTATACGTTTGATCACTTGCTGGAATATTAAAAAAGTTCTAAGTACCTGTGTTTGACAACCTGTTGGAATATAAAGTATGTTTATTTAAATATTATTAGAATATTATTTTTATATTAGACACAAAAAAATATATAATATATATTGTATTGTAAATATCTATTATATACATAAAATATATTATATAACAACATATATTATATATTATATTATATATATTAAATATAATGCAAATATATAATAATAATTTAAATAAATATATTATATTATATATAATATAATAAATTATTTTATTAATATTTTTTGTATTATATATATATGGAAAATTCTTCCTAACGCCTATAGGCGAAAATGAATAGTGATTTCACCTACCCTCAACACTGTCTAAGTTTCATCGTGCGGTCCCTATTATCCGGTAGTGTTTTATTTTTATTTTTTCTATAAATCGGAATGATCTGAAATTTGGAGGGTATGTACATCTTACTGAGGCGCATCCAATAAAAATAAAAACAATTATCCGTGAAAAATATTATCAAAATACCCTCGAAAAGTTTCGAGGATATTTTGGTCAATTTTTTCATGTAAAATATTTTTTTTATCTTTTTTCGAAGATTCCCTTATTTTTGATGAATACACATTCCAAATTTTAGGTCATTTTGATTTGTAGAAAAAAAATAAAAATAAAACACTACCGGACAATTGTGACAGTACGATGAACTTTTGACGGTGATGGGGATAGACAAAATCACTGTTCATTTTCGCCTATAGGCGTTGCGTAGTGTTTTCCTATATATATATATATATATATATATATATATATATATACACAACAAACAAATAACAAATAATAAATTAACTAATATAATTAATAATAGTAAGGAGGGAGGTAAGTTTGAGGAGCCAAGTACCAATTTTAAGGTTCATCATTTAAGATGGAACTTTTTTTCTTAAGCACAAAGGAGTAAAGAAATTCTAGGGGTAACTTCTTTATTGTATAAGTTTCATGCATCAAACATTAAACTTGCATAGTAATGGAGAAGTTCCTTCTTCCTTTCCTAACTTCTTGTTATCCAACACTCCTTAGAAGTAAGGTGCACCTCTAAAATTTGCTTGGAGATGTAATTTCGCTATCGGATACCTTATGAAAACTTGAAAGTCCACCTGTCTTTCTAAATATGTTATTTATAAATTGAAATGCGAAGAGTCTCAGGTTCTCTGAAGAGACTCCTTGTGTCCATTAAATATATGAATATACATACTTGTATTTTATATACAAATTACAGATGACAATAATAAAAATACCTTGTGTCTATTAAATATATGAATATACAGACTTGTCTTTTGTATACAAATTACAGATGATAATAATAAAAATAAATCACAAATTCCTATACTATACCAAGACTTAATATAAATACAAGATATTGTATTTACCCTTCATAAATATACATATTATAATATACACCTTCTATATTAACCTGATAGACAATATACAATTTCCTTTCACACTCCCATTCAAACTCAAAGTGCTACGAGAGAGAGCAGCTGTAGTTTGAACACCAAGTCGCAGAATTAAGTAGTTGGATCTTCGGGTGCATACTCAGATTGCTTGATCAATAAGCACAAAAAGTAGTGGCAAATCAACAAGCCTCGAGAACAGATGGCAACCAGAACTCTTGAAAAGATCAAACAGATTAGAGAGTTGAAAGACAGATTGAAAAGTCGAAACATGACTCGACAGAGAGACTGATCAGAGAGTCGAAACATGATTGGGCATAGATGAGAGATCAGAGAGTCGAAACACGGCTCGACAGAGAGGACAAATCAGAGAGTCGAAACACGACTCAGTAGGTAGTCGAAACACGGCTCGACATAAGTTGCACCGACTGGGTAAACAACAAACTCGTCTTGAAAATTGGCTACAGTGCTTCAGGGACGAGGAATAGACACAACCAAAATATCGCTCTGATACCATGTGAAGAACATCAAGTTTATCTAAAGAGACTGTCATACCCCAAGAATTTACAATACTGATATTCCTGATATGTGGCAGTCAAAACATATATATACATCTCTTTTTAGGACAAATTTACAATGGCGAATTTTTAAAAAGTAACAAAAGAAAGTTTAAGCACAACTTCAATATCTTCCCAAAGTTGATCCTGACGAGC